ATATCCATTATAGAATAAATAAAGATAGTAGTGACTTCGTGACACCTCGTAGATAAATGACATGCATTTCAGAAGCGGGCGATAACGGTCGCGTCCCTTATAAGTCGGCATCGCGACGCCGAAGCTGCCGGATCGACGCGAACTTCCTCTATAACGTGACTTGTAAAACGCACAAGCAGAGCCGGGTGTCGTTTAAAGTTTAAACATGCCGTTGCAAGTTCTCGCGAACGTATTCAATGAGGGGGGATTGCTATTATCCGCCGAGTTCCAGCTCGGTCCGATGTTCTCGCGCGGATTTACATCCCCGTGTGCAATTTGCCCCCGCGTGCATCTAAAAACAACAATCGGCTCTGGCGGGTTGATACAAGAGAAGGAGACATGAATGCGATGGCGACGGTCACAAAAGCCGGACGAGAGCTTTGGTGTTAACGCGCGAGTTTCACGCGAAAACGAAGCGAACTTTCGCGACCGGCCAGCCAGACCGGTCATAAATATTCCCGGACAAGATTGAGGCGATAAATTCGCAAACTTTCTCGATCGCCAGCGCTTTTAATGGCTGTGACGAGTCTTTGGCGATGCTCACTGCCGAATTGCATGCGAGAATCCTGATCAAAAGTTGTGATAAAAGTGCGACCAGGTTTATGTGTATAACAACGTCATCGTGATAATCTTGAACCTTATTATTTAATTGTTTTTTTTTTTTTTTTTTTTTAATAAATTGACCAAATCTATCAAGTTCTGAAAGAAAATAATGACAGCTGTTATCAGTAGCAATCGAGTTTTTATCAATAAAAAAATTTCATATTCTAGTTAGATCGAGTAAGACATATAAATCTTCTTGAAATTTATTAATTGTAACATAGTATAATTAATTCATTGTCATTTTTGACACTTTAGTTAGAAAAATGATTTATCCGCTATTAAAACCTGAGAAACCTTTTCCTCCTTTGATAAAATTATTGCGATAAAAGTGCTGTATGTATTTTCGAAAATTCATTTTTTGGATATGCTAATATATCAAACTTCAAGTACAGATCATCGTTGATATCGAAAGATCTCAATGTTCTCCTTCGTGGGTAACAGATTTCCATACTTCTTAAAACACGAGAAGGCTTTTCCGAAGTAAGATTTCGACACAGTTCGAAGCAGTCGGATATCTGGAAGTAAAAGTGGCTTCGATAGCCGATTCGAGCTTTCGAAGGAGGGAGTCGAGCAGAGTTTCGTCGACTGGATCGTCGAGAAAGCGCACGACTTATCGACAACCAAGCGCAATTCCCGCGCAATTCCGCAATACATGCTCCAATCGTGAGCTTTGATACGGGGGCGAATCGATAGGTTACGAGTCGCTGGTAGCCGCTTACTCACAAGGGACTCGACAAGAAGGAATTTTCTTCCGGTTGGCAGCTCGCACTCTCGCGCCTCCTCTACAGCCGGAAAATTAAATTGAACGACTTTTCGATGAAAACAGACAAGAACTAGTTTCCGAGTCTTCTCGAATCAAAGGCATTTTGGGATTCATATACTTTAAAAATGTTTTGTGGAAAAAGGTATGCTACGTCTCGTGCAAATTATTTTATTCATTAGCAGAGTTCGTGAAGAAATCGATTAACACTCGGCTAATAAAAGAAAATATAAAGTAATTATCAATAAAAAAAATGAAATTTAAAAATTAAAATTATTTTGATACTAGTGTTTGTGTGATTTTTATATAAAGAAAAATAGAGAATTTTTACGTTAATAGAAATATTCAATTTTATCTCAGATAATATTTGCAAAAAGCACTTCCAATTAATAATTCAAACTTCGAAGCTTTCGAAGTTTCAATTGAGGAAAAATCTTGTCTATATTTAATCAACGAATCTGCTGCCGAGTATTACCTGGTAATCTGGGACGTTCCGTGCGCATGATAAATCCAAAGTCCAGTGGAAATTCATCATTATATCGTAATGATAAGCAGGTGACAGGACATCTGGGAATATCGTAGTATCGATTTCCGTTCGATTAATAACGAATGAAAGTGCAAAAGCCGGAGCGAAAGGGGTTTCGACCGTAATAATGATAAGGACATACGAGAGTATGCAATCGATGCTGCAACTGGGCACAAGCAAGCAAATTTCGACTGGTCGGTTGATAGCTCTTGGAAATGCCGATCCAATTAAGCCGGCGCATCGCGTTCATTCATTGCCAATTTCCGCGAGTTAGACTACAGACCGCGATATAATAGCTCGCGTTTCGCGCGATCATTTTTACGCAAATTAATACAAAGTATTCTCATAGAGATCATAAAATATATTCGTAATGCTTGGTAATATTCGAGAATTCGTTCCACGAGAAAACAACACGAAATAAAAATAAAATAATTATTCGTTAAAATGTAAATTTAAAAAATTTCAGTTTGCTCTAATAAAGAGAAAAATAAAAAGAAAAATATAATATAATTGTTAAATAAAAATTGAAATACAAAGTTAACAAATGCAGATTTAATAAAATTATGTGTAACTAAGAAAAAATTTAAAAAAAGGATTAGTGAATTTTTCTTCTTTTACTTTTATAATTAAAATCGATTTATATCACCAAGATATTTAATACCGGCGACGAAAAAAGTTCTATTATCTAAGTAATGTTATTCTATTAAATTTTTGTTAGTGAATTTTCTCGATTCAAAATTCATTTGAGACTTTTTAGTCGAGCAACCAGTCGCAGCTTTCAAACACAACAGTACAACGTAACGCCGCCGCACTTCGGCATTAATAATTCTTATCTTTCATCCGATACCGCCCGAGAGAGAAGCCTGCATCTCGAGCAAGGACAGCGACGCTCGGGAATATTTCGCAGTCTTTTCTCTCGACAATCCCCCATCTCCCTATCTCGATCTCTAGCCCCCTTTCCACAAAATGAATTCGAGGATGCAGCGTGACTTCCGGCGTGCGAGCGGAAGTTGCGGAGAAAACAGAGCAGAATATTTA